TAAGACAGCAAATTCATACAGCCACTATGGAAATCAGTGTGGAGGTTCCTCAGGAAGGTGGAAATCAATATATCTCAAGATCCAGCTGTACCACTCTTTGGCATAAAGCATGCTTCATCCTATCACAGAGACACTTGCACAAATATATTCATTGTTGCTGTGTTCATAATAGCGAAAAACTGGAAACAACTTAGGTGTCTCTCAATAGAAGAAAAAAGAAAATGGGGTACGTTTATCCAATGGAATATTACTCAGCCATTTAAAAAAAAATGATACCAAGAAATCTGCAGGCAAATGGATGGAACTAGAAAAAAAAATCATCCTGAGTGAGGTATCCCAGACACCAAAAGACAAATATTGTGTATATTTACTTATATGTGGATATTAGCTGTGAAGGGAATGATAACGAAGCTACAATCCACAGACCCACAAAGAATAGGTATAGAGTAAGGAACCAGAGGGAACAGACAGATAGATTTCATTAGGAAAAGGGAAATTATATAGACATGGCTCGGCTGGGAGGATAAAGTGGCGAGAGAAAGGAGAAGTTGTGGGAAGGAGTACAGGGAAAGACAGCTAAAATAAAAAGGCATTGAGGGTCTGTGTGAAAACCTCCTAATACTGGTCTTCAAATATATATAAATACATATACATACATATATATACACAAATACATAGGCAATCTAAATGAAATCACCAATAACGGGGGAGGCAGTCCCAACTCAATATCTCTTGTCACCAAAGGAAGCTTCCGGTACCAGGATTGGGTTACATCTAATTGAGTTGTTGTTCAAATAGGTCTCATAGGAACCCCTAAACAAGCCAAGTTGTTGCCAAGACAATAATAATTGCTCTCCACAATGTAACAGCAAGACCCTATGACTGAATACACACGTATACTGAATGGAAATGCTAAGCTGGTGCCTACATAGATCCTTTATCCTATGTTCCAGCATCTTCAGTATACAAAGGTATTCTGCATGTTATCAAAAAAGTGGCATAGACACAGAGCCAGCCACACTCTTTAGCTACAGTATTGTGCTGCTTGCAAGGCATGCTGGGGTAATGGTGTCACAAAGCTTGTGCCCACCTGTGTAGTGTCCAACTAAGACATGATTTGACTCACGGCCTATTCCATGAGATGTAACTCATACCCAACACTGTTTGGGTGACCAAGAACCCGAGACTAGTTAGCCCAGGGACCAGAGTAAACCCAAATATTACTGATCTAAAAGAAGAAGAAAAAATAGTGATAAAACGACTCCTAATGATATTCTACTATACTTACAGATCAGTGCCATGTTCAGCCCTTATCGGAGCCACTTCCTCATCCAGCAGATGGGAACAAACACAGAGACCCACAGACAGACATTACACAAGAGAGTGAGAGACCTTGTAACACTCATCCGTGAGTGGTATGGGGACATAAATGGGATGTCCTTATCAAACTCCTCTCCCTCAGACCTCAGGAAACCCCGAGGAAGAGGAGGCAGAAAGAGAGTAAGAGCCAGAAAGGGAGAGACCACCAAGAAAACAAGACCCTCTAAATCAACTGAGCAAAGCTCATATGAAATCACAGAGACTGAACCAGCATGCACATGGCCTGCACTAGGTCCTCTGCATACATATTACAGCTTCCAGTTCAGTGTATCTATGGGACTTCTGAGTCTGATTCTTGTGTCTTCTCTTGGACTCTTTTCCTGCTCTTGGTTTGTCTTGTCCAACTCCTAAGTGATAGTTTTTGTTTTATCTTGTACTTTAGTTTGTTATATTTTTTTAAATGAATGAATGAATGAATACATAATCACTAGGATAAAAGTTAATAATTGAACTGTCATTTATACCTGCTGGGAAAGGGAATATCAACTTTCTCCAATATGGTGACACTGGATATATCACTGCAGGACAACAGGCCTTGTACTCAGGAGTAGCTAACCAACACATAATGAACTCCAGAGTTCTTGTATGTGCTTTTATTTGATTATAGTTTGGTGGATTTTGTTTTTGTTTGTTTGTTTGTTTGTTTTCCTGTGGGGACATGGCTTTGTTTTGTTTTCTTGGTTTAGGGGAATTTTTATGTTACATTGGGTTTTTGTTTGTCTTTCAAGAAAAACTTAAAAGTTGGCAGGAGGGGAGGATCTGGAAGGACTTATGGGAGGGAAAGAATATTTTTAAAAAGACTATTAAATAAATTAATTTCCTATCTTTAAAAAAAAGAAATAGCTATTTACAATAAGAAAAATGCATTGGGAAGGTTGGAGCAGGCTAACAGAAGAGCCTCAAGCCTCAGGAATGCTCAGATCAAGGAAGTGAATAAGAAAGACTAGATAGGTAGCATAGCCTTAATGAAGGACAGAGAAAAAAATAGAACTCGTCTTTCTTTCCCTTTGGGGTTGCTGATAAGCCCAGAGGCTTGTTATGCCATGCAAGCAGGCTACCACCAAGCTACCAACTGGGCTACCACAGCTCAAGATCACCAACACTAATGTCTATTCTGTCAGTCCTACAGACATCAAAAAATAAGCTCTCAACTGAAAAAAGTTAAAATAACTGAGTAGGGAAGCAAAGGGTACCCTCCATACTTAAAAAAACAAAAACAAAAAAACCACAGTTACATCCTAACAAATTATATCACACACACACACACACTCAGAAGCAACTTGCCATTGTGACCAAGGAGCTACTGTCAAGAACTTTTACAAAGTTCATAGAACAATGTCAGAAGTTGAGACAGTGCTTCCTGGACATATTAAAAGTGCACAGTTGTTGGGTGGTGGTGGCAGCTCAGGCCCTTCTTAATCCCAGCAATCGAGAGGCAGAGACCAGTAGATCTTTGTGAGTTCAAGCACAGCTGGGACTACAGAGCTAGTTCCAGGACAGCCAGGGCTACACAGAGAAACCTGTCTTGAAAACCAAAAACAAAACAAACAAAGTGTGCACTGTTAATCATAGAACAGAGGTTAGGTGAAAATTCCAAGTTGCTTATTAAAGAGAAGGCATGTCAAACTGCAGACAGAAAACTGATACATAGCTTAGCTACACAGAGGTAAGCAAAGTTGTAAATGAAGAAGGCTTGGCTTCATGTCCTCATTCTGTCTGTAAATAGACAAATGAATATGCCACAGTGGTTGAGTCCTATGAATTACAGTATTTTTCCTTTGAAAAATGTGGCTGTCAATTCGAAGCTTCTTTAATGTTAGCCAAAAAGAATGTATCAGCCCCCAGTAGTCCATGGAGGCCTCCGTTCTTTCTGCCCCACTGTCTTCAAGTGGAAAGGTTGCCATTCATTAAGAAGCAAGACATGTAAGACATGTAGTGGGTACTTACATCATGTTAGGAAGTACACTGGGCCTATGGTAGAAAGTACTAACAATCCCCTTTTATAAAGGATGAATCTGAGACTCAGAGTCTGGGGTGCATTCTGAAGTCTCTAGCTCCGGTTCTCGACCAATGTCTACATTGTTGCAGAGCCAAGCAGTGGGTGGACTGGCTGATAGGCAGTTCTCAATTTTTTTTTTTTTTTTTTAGTTAAAAATAAAAGGAAGCTGTTTTCTATCCATCACTTTGAGATTTTTAAATTAGAAAAGTAAAAGAAGTTAAAATTGTAATGCATGCCCAGCAATAGATGGCCAACACAAAGCTAACTCAGTAACATCTTTTGGATTTCTTTGTCTCCTAATGTTGAGTCACGGGTGTTTGTTTTTGGTTTTTTTACAAGTTCTTTGTATGCAAATCTATGTGTCTCTGTGTCTACATGTGATTTTGTGCTTTTTCTTTGGCTCTTCTGTTTGTTTATTGTGTGCTGTTCTAATTTGTTTGTTTTCTTTTCTTTTTTTATTTATTTTATTTTAGTTGCTTGGATGTCTCTTTGTTTTCTAATGAGAGACAGAAAATGGGTGAATCCGGATGGGATAGGAGGAACTGCGAGGGCTAGTGGGAAGGGAAGCCATAATCACAGTATTGTATGAAAAAATTTATTTTCAATCTTCAAAACATAAAAAACAAAAAGTAAACCTGTGTATCGGGCTGGTGAGAGGGCTCAGTGGGTAAAGAACTTGCTGCACAAATGTGAAGCCTTGGTTTGAATCCCCAGAACCCATAAGCCAGGATTCAGTGACAAAGTCTGGATGCTCTTATGGGAAGATGGGAGGTAGGGAGAGAAGAATCCCAGGACCCTGTGTGCCAGGTAGAATAACATAAACAGTGATGAGCAGTGAAGACACTCTACCTCAAGGTGGACATCAAGGATAAGTATCTAAGGCTGTCCTCTGATCTCCACATGGACTCTATGACCCATGTGCATCTGCATCCACGCACATGAAAACGCGTGCACACATGCACGCACACACATACACACACAGGCACACACATAGTCATACACACACAGGCACACACACAGTCATACACACACAGATACATACACAGACACACACACGCATGCACACATGCTTGCACAGAGGGGTGGGGAGAGATTGATAAACTGAATTTTGATGAGAATTACTCCTTTGTTATGACTTCACGCAAAGCCAAGTCAAAAGAAAGGTTAAAGGTTATTTTGTAGATTATATTCCAGTTGACCATTTCACTTTAACTTTGTTCTTCTGCAAATAATAGTCTCATGGCTTTTTCTGTTCATGGTTTTTGAGTCATGGTTTTGCTATGTAGCCCACACTGGACTCCAATTCTCTTGACAGTCCTGCCCCAGTCTCCTATGCACTGGAACTAGGGGTGTGTGTCATTTTACACATAAACTGTCTTACCCTGCCTGGTACCAACTTGTGTCTCCCATTGCCTTATGTTCAATGCCATGGCCCTTAGGAACATAAAACTCTAGTGGAAGAGACTAGACTTCGCTCACTAGTTTGCATCTATGGGATGGTCATAATTAACGAAGCTTCTGAGCAATAGCTCAAAGTTAATGATTTGTAACACTTACAGAGATTCAGGGAAGACTTTCACAATGTAGCTTTTGTATGACATGGTTTGCTTCCTTGCTGCAGGTGCCTTCATCTGCAAGATGGTACCATTCGTCCAGTCCACTGCCGTTGTGACGGAAATCCTCACCATGACTTGCATTGCTGTCGAGAGGCACCAAGGACTTGTCCATCCTTTTAAAATGAAGTGGCAGTACACCACCCGAAGAGCTTTTACAATCTTGGGTATGTGAGCCAGTATTTGTCACTTGACAAAAATATCTGATATTGACTATTTGGAAGTGGAAGGATTTGTGTTTGCATATGACTTCAGAAAGTCCGGTCTGTGGCCACTTGGCTCTGTTACTTCCAGGCCTTTGGGCAAGAAAGCAGAACACTGTGACATGACCATTGGTAGAGCATTGGCTTGCCTCATTGCAGATCACACACACTTACACAGACAGAAACAGTCTGGAGCAAGTCCTATGCCAGTAACCTACTTCTCCCAACCAGGCTCTATTTCCTAGTAGTCCATTTATCTACAAGTTTATCGGTGGACAAAGTTCGTGAAGTAGCATTCAAGACGTTGAAGGCATTTAATACTCAAAGTGTAACATTAGGTGAGGTCATTACTGTGTCCCCTTCAGTATTGATGCCATTGTCCATTATAGAGCAATATCATATTTGTACAGCTGAAGTACGGTTTTGTCCTTTATGAGTAAGCATTCCTGTATAACTTGAGGAGTTTAGTCCTCTCTGTATTTACCCTATATCAACTCTCCTTTGGTTCTACTCTAATACTTAGATATATTGTTGTGGACAGTGTATTGTGCAGTTTACACCTTCAATGTTTAAGTGTCACATTTAGCTAATGAATGATACCTATCTGTGGCTAACATTCATCTGACCCTGAGATGAGAAGGCACTGAACATACAAGAGCAAGAAAATCCTGCTACAGAGCAGGACTGTGCTTTGAGGGAAGCAGAGAGCAGAAATGTTGTGCTGAGGTGGGCTTCCAGTCATTCACACAGAGCTTGCAAGTGCCTGAGAGCAGTGACACATTCCACTCTCTTCAGGCAGTTCTAGATGCTTGGCTTGCCATCACTGTCCCTGACTCAGTAAGGCATGATGAATACAACAAATCTCAAAACAAAATGGTGAATTTGAAGCAATATCCTAACATCCAGCATGGTAATAGATTAATCCTTCTTTTTTAGTAATTATCATTAAGTCTTTAAAAATCTTAAGATGCTTCATTGACAATGATCTGAATTTATAGTAATCGGATGTATACTGTACACCCGATAGAATCATTAAAGGTAGCAAATTTAACTAATATGCCAGGCGAACTAACAGAAACAGTATTTCTGTTATAAAAATTTAGCTGGTATTGTATTATCAGGAACACTGAAGATAGAGAATCTGCAGGTTAAGCATGTCTCGATTGTTCTGCATTCTGATGGCTATTGCATTTTTACAGGTGTGGTCTGGCTGGTGGCCATCATCGTAGGATCACCTATGTTGCACGTGCAACGCCTTGAGGTACACAGGGTCGAGTGGCTTTTTATACTACTGAGATACTTCTCCACATCGCTCACCTGTAACATTACCCATCTCAAGAGCACTTCAGCAAGTCTGTATGACCACAGTTGCTTCACTGGAAATCTTTCAAATCAGTTAACATTGTTTTCTCCATTTTACTCAATTCTTCTAGAAATTGTATTGCTGAGATTTTGGTGCTTAACATTTTAAAAATAATCCAAGTTTACTTTATCAATTTTCCTATAAATTGAACATGCTGTTCCAAGAATGCTCTAATGTTTTGATATAATTAAGAACCCAATGACTACTCTGTATTTTTTATTCAAAATAGATTTTTTCATACAATATATAATAATTACAGTTTTTCCTCCCTCTACTCTTCCCAGTTCCTCCCAAGTCCCCTACAATCCAGGTCCACCCTTTTCTGTCCCTTATTAAAAATAAACAGGCATCTAAGGAATGATGATAAAATATAAGATAGACCAAAACTCACCAATTAGAAGTAGGACAAAACAGAAAGAGAAGGCACAGGAAAAGCCACAAGAAACAGATACAGACCAAAGACCCACTCATTCACACACTCAGAAATATCATAAAAACACAAAGGCAGAAGCTATAATATATAGGCAAAACCTGTGTGATATAAATACACACATATACACATACCCATACCCATATACATACATACATACATACATACATACATACATACGTACATACGTACATACGTACATACGTACATACCCTGAAAGGACATTATGAGCCAAGAAACCTCTAAATATGCTGTTGAATTGGATTTCTGTCAGCCAACTCCTGCTGGCCAGTCTATCCTTGAGAGATGCTTGCTTCCCCCAGTGAGACTCCCTTGGGAAATAAAACCCTAATTTTTCACTGACAAATGGATATTAATTGGAGGTACTATCTGGATTAAGGATGGGGCATGTGTCCACTTCTCCTTTCAGCTCCAAGACACCAAACTGTTGCAGCCCTGTACAAGCCCTGAGCAGGTGGCCTCGGTCTCTGTGAGTTCATATGTGTATCTATCCTGCTGCAGTTTAGAAGGTCTGCTTCCCTTGCTGTCTTCCATCCCCTCTGGCTCTTATACTCTTACTGTTTCCTTCTCCTCAGGGTTCTCTGAGTCCTAAGGGGAGGGATTTGATGGAGACACACTGTTTAGGGCTGAGTGCTCTGAGGTCTTCCCTCTCTGTGTATTATCTGGCTGTGGGTCTCTGTATTTGTTCCCATCTGTCACAGGATGAAGTGTCTATGATGATAGTTCAGCAATGCACTGAGCTATGAGTACTGCAGAATGTCTTCAAGAATCATTTTATTGCTATGTTCCTTTTGTAGAACAGAAGCATTTGTTTTTCCCTAGGTTCCCAGGCTATCTAGTCTCAGGTTCTTGGTCACCTAAATAGCATTGAGTATGGATTCCATCTCCTGGGCCTTAAGTCAACACAGATATTAGTTGGCTACTCTCATAGGCTCTGTGGCATCATTGCCCTAGTGTATCTTGTAGGCAGGACATCACTGTAGAACAAAAAGCTTGGAGCTGGGTTGGAGCTTCTGATTCTCCTTTGGTAGCATGTAGAGTAGCATCTGGTACCAAGAGCTCTAGACAGTAGGGAGAGGGCTCTAGGCAGGCACCAGCTCAGCTTCTCAGTGTTCTATGGGTTGTGTGTTGTTTTCAGCAATACGGCCTTGCCATCAATTTGTGAAGAGAAACACAGAGCCTTTGTAACATCCTGGGTTATTTGGGGGTTCCCCTGGACCCCTTTGGCTAACAATGGGATTAGATATAACCCATTCCATGTACTGGAAACTTCATTTGGTGATGAGAGATATCCAGTTGCAGCTGGCTCCCGTTATTTGGCGATTTCATTTGGATCACCTTCATATATGTATATAACTTAAGAAAGCTGCTAATGTATTGTTTCCATACACCCCCTCGAGTAGCTATTAATTTTAGCTGTCTCTGTCCGTATTCCTTACCACCCCTGCACTACCCATTTGATCCTCCTGTCCAGCTTTAACTATTCTATTTCTCCTTCCTTCTCTATATCTTCTTTTATGGTTAATCATGCAACAAATTGTAATAGATTAGTTGATTCTCTTTCATAAGGCCTTTCTTACCAGCCTTGTCTTCATCGGTAAATGGAAATTTGAGCAGAAAACGCATTCAGAGAGCATGTTATCCAATCTCTCTTCTTTCTCCACCTTTGTCTGATAGGTTCAGCCGTGCATGAGGGTTCACAGTAGAGAAAGATGGGTGTTGGTTTGACTCAACCTGTCTATTGGTGTAGTCTAACACAGACACAATCTTCAAAAGCAACAGGGCATTGCTCACATAGCTCCTAACCAAATTTATAAAATGACATATTCTTTTCTACTTTTTTTAATCCTCTAAAATTTAATTAATTTTATTTCATTTTCGTAGTCATAAGTAATAAAGTATACCAAAAACCTTATTATGCTAATTCATCTGGATTTCTTTGATAGGAAAATTACTTTTTAATTATTTATTTATTTACATCCCAAGTGTTGCCTCCTCTACTGGTCCCTCCTCCCAGAGTTCTTCACCCCATCCCCCATCTTCTTCGCCTCTGAGAGGGGCTCCCCCATCTCCCTTCCCTTGGCATCAAGTCTCTGCAGAATTAGGTACACCCTGTCACACTGAGGCCAGAAAAGACAGTCCTCTGCTACATATGTGCTGGGGGCCATGGACCAGCCCATGTATGTGCTCTTTGGTTGATGGCTTAATCTCTGGGAGCTCCCAGGGGTCGGGGTTAGTTGACACTGTTGGTCTTCCTGTGGGGTTGTTGTTCCCTTCAGTTCTCTTTTTTTACTTTTTTAAACAGAAAGGCAAATGTGGAATTTTGCGAGGCTTGCCACACCCAGCAGCAAGGAATATCAAGTGAGCCGTAAGGTAAAGGTAGATTTTACCAAGAGTCTGGTTTTTGTTCTAGGATTTGAATACTGAGTGAGCTGAACTGTGTATAAGCAGAGAACAACTTTATGTGTTACAAACTTATGAAATGCTTTCTGAGGATGTTCCAACCTGCCACACCAGCTATGCCAGTATTCAGTTCACTAAAGTTCTCTGCCCACTTTCCACACAGAAACAGTTGAACATCTGTTACAAAACATCCAGTCCACAGCCTTAGTCTCTTAAGTTCATATAATCAATTTAAAACTTGGCACTTCCCTCGGCTTGAATTGACATTGGCCCTAACAACATAAATTGTTGTGGCTGTCTTCTGGGTGTCTCTGCCCATCCATGCAGCTGAGCCTTTCTCTCAAGCCCATGAGCAGATGTGGTCTGGAAACAGTGCCTCTGGGTGTCACTCTGACTCCTGATTGATGCTTCTCTTCTGGGTTTTCCCAAGACACTCAATGCTTCTGGCAGCTTGTCCCTCCTCAGCCCTCTGTATACCACAAACATGGCCAGCTCCTTTCTGCTGAGGCCTCCTTCCCCACCAGCAGAGTGTAGAGCCATGGGCTCTTTCACAAATGACACATTACAATCTCGAGGTCTATTTCTTAATCACAGAAAACAAATAGATACGGCAAATAAAAGAAACCTTACTCAGGGCAGTGGTGGCGCACGCCTTTAATCCCAGAACTTGGGAGGCAGAGGCAGGCAGATTTCTGAATTTTAGGCCAGCCTGGTCTACAGAGTGAGTTCCAGGACAGCCAGGGCTACACAGACAAACCCTGTCTCGAAAAAAAGAAAAGAAACATTCCTCCAGGATATACTTTAAATATACCTTAAATTTGTGACTCATTGGTTGGAAATGTAAATGTCGATTGTACAATCTAATTAACAAAACCATGCTCACTGTCAGGTCAATTAGTTACATTTGCTTCCTGTCCTGTATTAGTGTCCGTCCCATGGCCACCCCATTCCTAAGCACTGTTAGTGTGTGTGAGAGCACACGGGGACCTGGGTCTCACTCGGATGCTGGGACTTGAGGCGCGGCCACTGGCGAGTCTCACTGTGCTCTAGTGCCCCGGTTCTCTCAGGTGTGGCTTAATTCTCAGTTCTCGGGGGGGGGGGGGGGGGAAGGACAGAACAGTGATCCAATGACACTGTCACACTTATGTCCCCTCCCAGAACTCGTCATAATATCGTTTCCCTACACTCAGACTTTACACTAAGCTGTGGTTTTTCCAGTGGTTTATATCATTCCTAGTTACTTTTGTCAAAAACACCTAGGCCAGAACTGGGGCTTTCTTGCCTTTCCAATCGCTGCCGAAGGTTGTGATGGAACTTGCACATAAGCACATAAGCCTTTCCAATCGCTGCCGAAGGTTGTGATGGAACTTGCACACAAGCACATAAGCATAAGCGAGGCTATGTTCAGACCCTGAGTAGTCACCTGAAAAGATCCAGTCTGCACGGAGGACGGGATCCCTGGTAGATTCTCACGTTTCCAATCCTATTGCCTCACATCCAAAGGTATGTGACCTTTGGATAAGCTTTAAGGCTTCAGCTCGACCTAGAAATGAGTCACACCACTTACGGTTGTTGTTAATAATGTTTGAGCTTAAAGCTGAGACTGCCAGAAATAGTTTTAATAAATGAGCTAACAAAGGTCATTTGGATTATTTTAGATTGGCCGTAGTTTGGATCTCATTTCCCATTTGCCTTAGGATTTAAAGGCTACCAGTTGCCTTTTTAATGCCCCATTAGCATCTCATACTTAAAGGGAATCTGGCGACTCTCCAAGTCTGTTCTTTTTTCAACAAGTGAGAAAGCAAAATATATTAGTTTAATTAGTATTAAAGCAGACGGCAGAGAGCATACGGTATGGTCAACAGTCAGCGAGGTGAGTAAGCTCTTAGAGCTCATGGGCAAGTTGTAAGAAGCAGAAGGTTGAGAAAGGCCAGAAATGAAAGAAGCATGCACAGACTTCAATTCCATTCCATATCTAAAAAGCTCAAAGTTATCAAAAAAAAAAAAAAAAACCTTAAGCAAGTGAGTGGAAAACTGCATTTCACTGCAACATAGCAACAAAACAGTGTTGTGTGTTTGAAATAGTCAGTGGCAGATGTGGGAAGTCTTTCAAAAGATTACTGCAACGGCACTGGCTGCTTCTAGTGCTGACTGCTGGCTCTTGTACCCCGCTTATTCTTTTTTTTTTTTGCTTTAAAATAGCATTTTTATTATAGGTAAAATATTATCTCCATTTTCATAATGCAAAAAAATATCAGGAAGTAAAAATACCCTTCACCTGACCCCCAGCTGTTGATTTGGCATAAATTCCTTAACCTACTCTAATCCCATAACACCCCCTGTTCATCTCTCACCATTCCTCTCCACCTCCTACCAGGTATCCTAAATTACAAGCAGTTTTAGAAACTGCTTTTTCCTCTGGGACTTTCAATACAATGTTCCTTTCACCTGGAATTTCTTTTCCATTTCCCATTAATCACTAAATCCTTTTCATCATTCAGGGCTGGTGATGTTAACATCGCCTCTAAGAAGCCTCATTTATTAGCAATCTGTAGTAGGCGCTTCCCTCTTGTCCGCCCGGTGATCTCAAGCTCCTTTTTAACAAAGCATGTATTCATCTGTAATGTAATAATAATAATAACAAAAGCCCCTCAGGATTGTAATAGACTGGGGTCATTTAGTGTAAGAGCAAATAGGCCTTCACATATTCTTCAAAGCCTTGAAGGAAAAGTAAATTCTATCCAAAATAGCCCAGGTTCTAGTATTCAAAGTTATAAAAATAGTGAATAAATAATTAGGTAGATAGATGAGTAGATAAAAAGTTCCCAGTTATAAAAATAAATAAATGTGTAGATAGATGATAGATAGATAGATAGATAGATAGATAGATAGATAGATAGATAGATAGACAAAAGCTTGTTCTATCCCAACATTATTGGCAGTCTTTCTGGTTCTGGTTTGGGGGGTTGATTTGAGTCTTGTTTATTTATTTGATTGTTGTTTGTTTTCCAGACACAGTTTTATTAAGTAGCACAGCCTGACCTTGGATTTATGATCTTCTGCCTCAACCTCCAGAGTGCTGGGTTTATGTATATGGGCCACCACACCTGGCATGATTGAGATCTTATTTTAAATTCCAGTTTGATTTCATAGTATTAGTGTTATGTTAGTTCATTTATATGGTTAACCCGCTTATTCTTACCATAAAGATTAAGTATGACTTCCTATATGAAAAAGAGCATGTCTGCTGCTTGGAAGAGTGGGCCAGCCCCATGCACCAGAGAATCTACACCACCTTCATCCTCGTCATCCTCTTCCTCCTGCCTCTTGTGGTGATGCTTGTCCTTTACAGCAAGATTGGCTATGAGCTGTGGATCAAGAAGAGAGTGGGAGACAGTTCAGCGCTGCAAACTATCCATGGGAAAGAAATGTCCAAAATAGCCAGGTCTGTTTGCTCACCTCTGTGTAAAAAGTTTTAATTCGCCGTACCAGAAGGGATAGTTGTCAAGGATGCCAGAACTCTCGGGTAATTTCGTCAAAGTAGTCTCAGTTGAGAGTATTTAAACCCTTGAACCTTTTTGAAATTTAATGTGTAGCTGAAAGTTAGATCAAAATCGTTAGTCCTTAAATCAGAAGTGAGGTTGGGGTTATGAAGAGAGTTAAGATCATGGTTATATTTCATCTCTATCTAAATCTAATCTGCAGGAAGAACTATGAGCCAGTGTCACAGCTGTGTGATCCAATGGAATCTCTTCTCCGTGTCTCTATGCTGGCCATGTGCTCCCCCCACCTGTTTCTTCATATATACAAAGTTACATAACGGTTCCAATAACCGAGTTATTCCTACTATAACATCCCTACTTTCTGATACTCAAAGATGGTGCTGGTTAGTGTACATGAGATGGAATGTATACAAATCTTTTTAAACCAGAGCATATTATGCATATTAAATGATTTATGTTGAAATTAATTTTAACATAACAGCTGTCTTTCTGACTTTATTCACTAGTATCCGCTTAAAAACACTATGGTGCTGCATATATTATATAGAAGACGTACTTTATAATCTTAATTGAACATGCGAATGGAAAGAAGCCAGTTAATGCCTCCTGCTCAGACGTCCAGGGATTTGAAAGGGTTTAGTTGAATCGCGAGTGTGCAGTGCCCTCTAGTGGCACGTTTGTATACAGACGGGCCTTTCTATGAAAGTACCAAGATTTAATCACCATGGGAATTTTTATTAAATTAATTGTCCCTTTCCTGGGGCGGGGGTAGAGGAAGGAGAGCTATTGAGTTGAAAAGAGAGATGCCAGGTATGAACTCTTAAAATATAAAGGAAATATATAGTTCTAGTGCAGATGTTTGTCTACCTTATAGGAAGAATAAAGAAATGAGTTTGAATTCCTGGTAAAACAGAGTTTTAATTCTATCCTTGAAGCTTACTGTATTTCATAAATATTGATCTTTTGCTGTCACAGACATGAATGATTTTCAATACACAGTGAATTAAAGTCTCTGAACTTAGACTCCTAAATCCAAACTCAAAGTACATCCCTTACTAGCCATCTGACTGCAAATCACAGAACCTTCTCTGTGCCTCCGTCTCTGCATTGGCTCACTGATTTGCTTGAATATTAATGATATAGTCCATGTCAGTAACCTAGTGGAATACCAGGCCCACAATGAGCACACGTCATAAGCATGTTCATTACACAAAGATAGCGAAGACGGATGAAACAAACAGGGAAAGGCATTAATGCAATTATGTTGGTGTGGGCTAAGGTCGGCTTTTATTCCAGTTTTGCTGTCTAATGCATTTCAGTGGAAAGTGAACCAACACAGTAAAACCAACACAGTAACCTCTTCCGGGTCTAGGAAGAAGAAGAGGGCTGTCGTTATGATGGTGACAGTGGTGGCCCTCTTTGCTGCGTGCTGGGCACCGTTCCACGTTGTTCACATGATGGCTGAGTACAGTGAGTACCTGGCGTTCTCGTTTGGTGACTCTCCAGGCCATTTCCCGCTAGAGCAGACAGTAACGACTGTAAACCCCTTGCTGTTCACTGGCTTAATTAAATACCAAGCCTTGAGTCTGGTTTTTTTCTACTCAAGGAGCGCCAGCCTTCTGTGTGGTGGGTGATTGTGTGTGATGAGAACACTTGGGTAAATAAGCATACTTTAGTTGTTGTATACAGTAAAGAAAAGCTTCCACAATCTTACATGATTCCTGAGGAGAGGGCACAATGTGGCATCTTTTTACAACCTCGACTCCCACCTTATTAATTTAATAATACCTGGGATTTCAGTTGGCACCTCAGGAGGTTCTCTCTGGGAAGCGAGGATTTTACATGGTTTTCTGTAAGATTGTGTTTTCTCCAAGGCAGGTGAATATTTGAAAGGCCACTGCTGCTTCTAGTTTACATGACAGTTGAATTATTTAGTTGAAAAGCTGCAGGCCCAGTAACATATGCTGGACGCCACACTGTGTATATAAGAAAGGTCCTCACAAAGGTTGTTTGTTTCTGGATGATCAGACTCCTCTCCCCAACCTGTCTTCAGACATTCACATGCCTTTTGCCTCTGACAACATCACATGATAAGTGGTTTTTATTTTCTTGATAAAGCCAATCAGCATTCTAAAATATCATTCTATTTCAGGTAATTTTGAAAAGGAATATGACGATGTCACAATCAAGATGGTTTTCGCTGTCGCACAAACAATTGGCTTCTTCAACTCCATCTGTAATCCCTTTGTGTATGCGTTTATGAATGAAAACTTCAAAAAGAATTTTTTGTCTGCAGTTTGTTATTGTATAGTAAAAGAAACCTTCTCCCCAGCTCGGAAGCCTGGAAACTCTGGAATTTCAATGATGCAGAAGAGAGCACAGTTATCACGACCACAGCGTACAGTGGAGGAAACCAAAGGAGACGCATTTAGCAATGCCAACATTGATGTCAAACTGTGCGAGCAGCCGAGGGAGAAAAGACAGCTCAAGCGACAGCTTGCCTTCCTTAGCTCTGAACTTTCTGAAAACTCTACATTCGGCAGTGCACATGAACTGTAGTGGTATCTTCATAGTTAATATCATTTGTATGGAAAGTTATTTACAGCAAGGGTCAGGACTATTTTTTTAAATGACAAGAAGAGAAACATGACATGTTTTCCATTTAAATGGACATAATACATAACACTGTAACTTTGAAAAATTATTATAACAGCTTTGTAGATTATTAAAGTAGATGTATGGAAGACTTTGTGCATAATATAGCAATGGTTTTGGCAGCAGTTTTATGCATGCAGTCAATGTGATGTGATTTTTGTGTATTGCTAACCTGGATGAAAAATTATTAAAACTGTACCATCGTCCTTGAATAGTAAACATTTGAGCATCTTAATGTAGTTTATAGTGTGCTGCTGAAATCTGGAAATCAGTCTTTGCAACTGACATTTGTACCATAATTTTAAAATAAATCAAAGAGGATGAAGAATCAGGCAAGTGACAACTAATAAAACTTAAGAGACAAATGTCACATTGGAGCTGCACACTGCCTCTGTGGTGACAAGTGACGTCTCTATTGTTCTGTATGAATGGAGGTCCTACCTTGTTTACATCATAGAGTCGTGGTGAAACAAAGTGTGACGAGGAAGGAAGGCACTTCTCACTCTAAATGGATGAACTCTGAGTCCTGGCCCTGCCCCTCCTGTCTCTGCCCCCACCCCCACCCCCACCCCCGCTACCTGCCCTGCTTTCCTTGCTAAGATTTATTCTAGTGCTGTCTCACTCTCCTCTCCTGTTTGTGTTTCCCATTAAAAAAAAGGAAGTAGGTAACTTCATTCATTGGTAAGATGATAGATAGATAGATAGATAGATAGATAGATAGATAGATATCAGAGAGATAACAGGTAATGGATAGAGATATCAGATGTTTATATCTGTTTGGCACTTTATTTCCTCTAGTGAAATGGAAGACTTAAGGAGAGATTTTCTCTGTAGTAGACTAATGTAGAAGGTCTGAAGCAACTCCAAGCCTGTGAAATATTGCTATGTCCAAGACCAGCCTCCAAATGGTGGGTCGGGAAGAACAGAGCCCCCCATTAGCTCAACCCCTCGCTCCTGTATTCCACATAGGACACCACTATGGCTGCAGCCTTCGCAACAGTCAAGGAACCCAAAGCTTCGTTGCCTAACTTGTTTCTCAAGCACTCATTTGCTACCTGAAGAACTCAGAATATTTTATAATTTAAGCATTAAGATTTGGAAACCAAAAAGCACAAACTACTTGGGTTCCCTTAGTTCCAGGCATTTCATGTCCTGTGCATCAGTGAAGTGCCATTGAAAAGGAGAAAGGTAAAAATTGTATAGAATAAGAAAGACAAATTGAATGCCACAGGAAAATTAGCAAAGTGAAGAAACAGATACTTGGTTTTTATGGACTGCTTTTGTACCATGTCACCTTTTTTGTCTAGTTACATTGTAACAAAACAGTGATCACTACACTGCTAAATCCTTAAGAATGGACCTAATGTGCTGATTTGGGTTATCTTTATTTAACTGATAAAAACTCATATGACATCAATATGGCAATAAGGTTGTTTGTATATTTATGCATTTATCCATAAATAATAAATTCAAAGGAAAAAGTCACCCCTGATGGCTTCCAACAGAAGAATGGCTGAATGAATAATCCAACATCAACATGGTCTATATTTTCAAGCAGCATTGATGAGTAAGTGTGATGAGTGAAGTAATTTTAGTTATTTTTGCACTAATTTGACGATTTTCAGTTTTATTCCCCAAAGTTTACCATGTAGCCACTTAGCTTCATTTCCTGTGAGACTAGCAAAATAGTTGAGACGTCATTGTGAGTAAAAATGGAGCTGAGAGTACCGCTACCCCTCATAGGTAGTATGATGTGCTGTTACTCTTCATAGGCAGCATGAGCCTGCTGCTACTCTTCATGGGTAGTCTTTGAAGGTTTTTATGGACTAGGCTTTAAAAAGGACAATAGGTGCTATCATTTACTAAGCTAGCACTATTTTTCTTTAAATTTATCTTTTAGATTATAATACAATTACAACATTTCTCTCTCCCCTTTCCTGTCTCCACATCCTCCCACATAGCTCTTCCTGCTCCCCTTCAGATTCATTGTCTTTTTTCTTATTACTAATTGTTATTGTATACATATATATGTACATGTACACACACGTTCTTAACTATAGCCTGATCAGTCTGGATAATGCTACCTATATGTACATTTTCAAGGCTGACTGTTTGGCACTGGGCTGCCAATTGGTGTGTTCTTCATCAGGAAGGACCACCTCTCCCACTCTCATCTTTCTGCAGTTACTTATAGCTCTTTGTGTAGGGTTGAGACCTCATGGGCTTTCCCCATCCACTTTAGCGTGTCTATTGTTGTTCTTGTTCAGCTCATGTGTGGGTAACCACGTTGGTGAGACTTTAAGAGTGAAGCTTCTCGGCCGGGCGGTGGTGGCGCACGCCTTTAATCCCAGCACTTGGGAGGCAGAGACAGGCGGATTTCTGAGTTCGAGGCCAGCCTGGTCTACAGAGTGAGTTCCAGGACAGCCAGGACTATGCAGAGAAACCCTGTCTCGAAAAACCAAAAAAAAAAAAAAAAAAAAAAAAAAAAGAGTGAAGCTTCTCACATTACTAGGAGACACAATCTCATAGCAAAGCTCTCTAACCTCAGACCTTTGTTATCTTTCTGCTTCCTCTTGTTCCCCTAGCCTTAGGTATGGAATCAGCCAGTATTTCTGAAGCTCCTGCAGCGTGTCGGACCTAGACACCTTCTCTCCCTTCTTAAATCAAGAACATTTCCTTCTCTAACCCAGATAATGCTGATTGACTGATGGATTTGAGGTTGACTGACCAATGAAATAACAGATAAAAGTCAGTGGCAAAAAATAATCGAGTCAACCCATAAGTTTTTTTTGTTTTGTTTTGTTTTGTTTTTTATTTTTTTTATTGGATATTTTATTTACATTTCATATGTTATCCCCTTACCCCATCCCCCACCCACCCGGGAACCCCCCCATCCCCTTACCCCTCCTCCTTCTTCTCCTTGGATGTAACCCCCACCTACCTCCCCCCACTCCCACTTCCCCACCCTCAAAATTCCCACCCCCTGGGGCGTCCAGCCTTCATGAGGTCAAGGATTTCATCTTCCACCTGTGCCCGGCAGGGCCCTCCACTCTTTCATATTCAGCTGAAGCCCTGGATCCCTCCATAAGTGCTCCCAGGCTGGTGGTTAGGACCCTGGGAGCTGTGGTTGGTTGGTATTGTTGCTCTCCTCATGGTGCCACAAACCCTTTCAGCTCCTTCAGTCCTCACTCTAACTCCTCCATTGAGAACCTCGTGATCAGTTCAATGGCTAGTTGTGAGCATCTGCCTCTGAATATGTTAGACTCTTGAAGACCTCTGAGGAGACATCCATATCAGGCCCTTATCGGCATGCACTTCCTGACTTCCACATCAACATCTACCTTTGGTGACTGCACATGGGATGGATACTCAGGTGGAAAGGTCTTCAGATGGCCCCTCCTTCAGTTTCTGTCCCTCACTTTGTCTCCATATTTGCTCCCTTGAGTATTTTGTTGCTCCTTCTAAGAAGAACTGAATCACCCCCACTTGGTCTTTCCCTTTTTTTCCTCACAGGCTTCATGTGGCCTGTGAGTTGCATCTTGGGCATTTCAAGGTTCTGGGCTAATATCCAATAATCAGTGAGTGAATACCATGTGTGTTCTTTTGTGATTGGCTTACTTCACTCAGGATGATAATTTCTAGTTCCATCCATTTACCTAGGAACCTCTCGAATTCATTGTTTTTAATAGCTGAGTAATACTCCATTGTGTAAATATACCACATTTTTTTAATCCATTCCTCAGTTGAAGGACATCTGGGTACTTTCCAGCTCCTGGCTATTATAAATAAGGCTGCTATGAACATAGTTGAGCATATGTCCTTGTTATATGTTCGAGCATCTTCTGGGTATATGCCTAGGAGTGGTATAGCTGGATCCTCAGATAATGCTATGTCCAATTTTCTGAGGAACCGCCACACTGATTTCCAAAGTGGTTGCACCATCTTGCAGTCCCACCAACAATGGAGGAGTGTTCCTCTTTCTCCACACCCTCGCCAGCATCTACTATCACCTGAGTTCTTAATCTTAGCCATTCTGACTGGTGTGAGATGGAATCTCAGAGTTGTTTTGATTTGCATTTCCCTGATGACTAAGGACATTGAACATTTCTTTAGGTGCTTCTCGCCATTTGAGTTTCTTCCATTGAAAATTCTCTGTTAAGCTCTATACCCCATTTTTTAATAGGGTAATTTGGTTGTCTGGTGTCTACTTTCTTGAGTTCTTTGTATATATTGGATATTAGCCCTCTATCAGATGTAGGATTGGTAAGGATCTTTTCCCAATTTGTTGGTTGTCGTTTTGTCCTATTGATAGTGTCCTTTGCCTTACAGAAACTTTGCAATTTTATGAAGTCCCATTTGTCAATTCTTGATCTTAGAGCATATGCCATTGGTGTTCTGTTCAGGAACTTTTCCCCTGTGCCCAAGTATTCGAGGGTTTTCCCCACCTTCTCTTCTATTAGTTTCAGTGTATCTGGTTTTATGTGGAGGTCCTTTATCCACTTAGACTTGAGCTTTGTACAAGGAGATAAGAATGGATCAATTTTCATTCTTCTACATGCTGTCCTCCAGTTGAACCAGCACCATTTGTTGAAAATGCTGTCCTTTTTCCACTGGACAGTTTTAGCTCCTTTGTCAAAGATCAAGTGACCATAGGAGTGTGGGTTCATTTCTGGATCTTCAATTCTATTCCATTGATCTTCCTGCCTGTCTCTGTACCAATACCAGGTAGTTTTTATCACTATTGCTCTGTAGTACAGCTTGAGGTCAGGAATGGTGATTCCTCCAGAGGTTCTTTTATTGTTGAGAATAGTTTTCGCTATCCTGGGTTTTTTGTTATTTCATATGAATTTGAGAATTTCCTTTTCTAACTCTGTGAAGAATTGAGTTGGGATTTTAATGGGGATTGCATTGAATCTGTAGATTGCTTTTGGCAAGATGGCCATTTTTATTATATTAATCCTGCCAATCCATGAGCATGGGAGATCTTTCCATCTTCTGAGATCTTCTTCAATTTCTTTCTTCAGAGACTTGAAGTTCTTGTCATACAGGTCTTTCACTTGCTTGGTTAGATTCACACCAAGGTATTTTATATTATTTGCAACTATTGTGAAGGGTGTCATTTCCCTAATTTCTTTTTCAGTCTGTTTATCTTTCATGTAGAGGAAGGCTACTGATTTGTTTGAGTTGACTTTATAACCAGCCACTTTGCTGAAGTTGTTTATCAGGTTTAGGAGTTCTCTGGTGGAAGTTTGGGGGTCACTTAAGTATACTATCATATCATCTGCAAATAGCGATATTTTGACTTCTTCCTTTCCTATTTGTATCCCTTTGACTTCTTTTTGCTGTCTAATTGCTCTGGCTAAGACTTCC